AAGCATCTACCAATGCTCTATTTGCATAGATCAACTGTCTTTTGTAAAAATTAAAAAAAAAAAAATTACATTAAATTTAAAAAAAGGGAGCATTTGCCATTAAAAAAAAAAATCAGTTATCAAATCAAGTGCTTATTTTTAAATCCTTTAAAGCGTTTTACATTTTATATGAGCAATGCTCTTTTTACTGTTTGACATGCAAATTTGCTGCAGTTAATTTAGACAATTAAAAGCTATCTTCAAGGTTGCTTTTGTCCCATGGAACAAAAAAATTCACTTTTCCCTCTGGACCTTCTCAGATAAAGTTGGCTATAACAAATGAAGTCTAGCAGATTAATTAGATATCTGATAAGACATGAATTTCTAATGAGACTACAAGAGACAGGAGGTTTATGTGTGTTCACAGTCAAAATTGATAATACTGAACAAGACTTCTATTTAAGCATAAAATGTCTTGTGTGAAGCATTTATTGAACCCATCATGCCCTATGGGACTATCTGTAAACTGAGATTCTCTCCAGCATCCCAACTTTAAAACCGATCTGCAGTAATTAATTCAATCTATTATGGTCAATTTAAAAGGTTTCAATTTTCCAAAATTCTATTTAGCTCACTATAAAATCCCACAAGACACATTTATTTGAATTGATTATAATTATTTTTTCAATGTGTCTTATACAATTGTTAAGGCATTTTTTGTTTTCAATTATATAAAGGCTTGTTGGAAAGAGGGAATAGCAAACGTGTTGATCAGAATACTTTAATAATAAGAAAATCCAAATATGATCAAGAATTTGTGTTCTGTTTTTTTATAATACAGATAAACGCATTTTATTTGTTTAAGTGATTTTAATTTACGTCTGTGTGGAATGTTAAATCAACATTTTAAATATCTTTTACATATATATATTGACTTTCACAAAGTGCATCGGAAATTAAGGAGGGGGAAAAGAAACTCCTGAATTTCAGGAATTCACAAACAAACAAACAACTAAATTTTTTTTAAAAATAATAATAAAAAAAATAATAAAAAAAACGTCGCGTAAACATTTACAGTTAAAAAGGAAAATCAACACAACCTCTTGCAACCTTTTTATACAGGATATAGGAAAAACAGAAAAAAATGTCCAATTTTTTTTCCTTTTTTGTCCTCAATGCTTTAACTTCTCACCTTGAAATCTTTTTGATCTTGTGTTTTTTTAATTTATTTTGTATTATTTTTTTCTAAAAATGTTTCTTTAATATTAAAATGGTTTGGAAATGGATCACAAAGAAGGGGTGTTTTGTTAGTGCCATAATCCACCGTTGAATTAGAGGTTCATGTTGTTTTTTCAATAAAACCATGAAAGTAGGTTGAGGGGTAAGGGGGAAAAAAATCACAAAAGGTCTGAGTGCTTGTACTCAAACATCTGCTCCTATTGCTCTTTTTTTGTATAGCTTTGCAGTATTTTTTCTGATTTAGCATTTTGCTTTTACAAACCAGTACAGTCCACCTCACCGAGGAGTAAAGAGGTCGAACCAGCTTACCAAGGAATAAAGAGGTCGAACCATCTCACGAAAGGAGTCAAGTGGTTCTTTAAACAGTCAAACTGCAACCCAGAGGAGCTGCACCCATAGAAGTGTCTCTGAACCTTTCTGATGACTGGTCCCTCAAAGAAAAGAGTCACTCTGACACTGGGTGAATTGCACCCCATAGAAAGTCCACCTGCACCTCAGAAGTGGTTGACTCTCCAAAGAAAGTCTTCTTGTACCTCATGCTTGCACCCCAAAGAGAGAGTCCTTCTCCATCCCAAAGGTGATTGCACCCCATAGAAAGTCCTCCTGCACCCCAGAAGTGAGTGCACCTCCACAGAGAGTCCTCCTGAACCCCTGAAGTGGTTGCACCCCCATAGAGAGTCATCCTTTACCCCAGAAGTGGTTGCACCCCCACAGAGAGTCCTCCTTTACCCCAGAAGTGGTTGCACCCCCATAGAGAGTTATCTTGCACCCCAGAAGTGTTTCCACCCCCATAGCGAGTCCCCAGGAGTGGCTGCACCCCCAGGAAGGAATCCCATGGACCCCTAAGAGTCATTGGCAGAATCTTTGCCCGGCCTGACCCCCTCCAGGATGAGTTCAGGGGATTCAGATCTGGGGGTCTCCAGGTTACTGGCGTCCGTGTCGCTGTCAGAGCCCTTCTTGCCGCCCCCACCGCCGCCCCCATTGTGGGTCTTGATGTGCTTGCTGAGGTGGTCGCTCCTCATGAAGCGCTTGTTACATACCGGACAGGCAAAGCGTTTCTCGCCGGTGTGGGTGCGGAGGTGCCGCTGGAGTTCGTCGGACCGGGTGAACCTCTTCCCGCAGAAGAGCCAGTTACAGACGAAGGGTCTCTCCCCGGTGTGCCAGCGCAGGTGGGCTTTGAGGTGGGAGGTCTTGCCGTACACCTTTCCGCAGCCCGGGATGTGGCAGCTGTGCAGACCTTTCCTCCGCAGACTCGCCCCCGCGGGGCCCAGCCGCTCCGCCTCCTGGCAGTTCGGGCAGTCGCAAGTCGCCCGCCCTGAGTATCGGCGAGCGGAGCGACCAGTGGCTCCACCAGCGGCTCCCGAGGCCCCGGAGAGCATGGAGCTGCCGGAATCCGGGTAGGAAGGCAGGACAGGCTTGAAGCCCTCCTGGGTGAGGAGGTGCTGGCCGGTGGAGAGCAGGTGGGAGGCTGCACTGGAGCCCAGACCGGTGGAGCTGAAGGCTGAGTGGGTGAGGGAGCTGAAGTCCGGGCTGTATCCGCTGAGCTGGCTATGAGGGGACCCTGCATGGAGGGCCCCCTGGAGGGCTGCTGCGGCCGCTGGGGGGTTCTGGACCTCTAGCCAGGTGCTGGGGCTGGCGGCATGCACGTCCCACCAGGCCGTACCGTTGGCCACCTCGGAGTGGAAGCCGGACTTGTACCAGGACTCATAGGGGTGAGCCATGCCAACGCGGGGGTACAGCCCCTCGGCCGCACCGTGCACCTTAGAGATGAATGCGGACTGTCCGGCGGCCTCCTGGGGAGACACCCCCGCGGAGCCCGAAAAGAGCCCGCTGTAGTCGCTGCTGAAGGCTGAGGAGGTCGGGGAGGTGGAGGCCAGGCAGAAAGCGCTGTTGGCGGAGGCTGTGCCCCCACTCAGGGCGCTGGAAGCCCGGCTGGTGGCCACCGTGAAGCCCCCCAGGCTGGAGCCCAGGCTGCAGCTGGATGAGGAGCGTTTCCAGGGGTGAAAGCCTCCCTTGGCGAAGGCGCTGGACTCCGGGAGGCTGCTCAGGGGGCTCGTGTTACCGATCTTGTTGCAGGTAGCGGCCAACATGGCCAGGGGGGTAGTTCCAAATCTCGGCTCTTCCTGGGGGACAAAAAACACAGAACTTGTCACATTCTGATACCACATCATAATGTCTTCCCTGGTCAACACTACATTTATAATGCGTTTATTGGAGACAAGTATGAAGGGGGAGGTGGGAAGGGGGAGGGGGGAGACCAATATTACATGGATAATACAAGTACAAATTAATGAACAGGATCTTCCTGATCACAAAAATTTGTCAATCCCTAAAAATCTGCACAGGGGTAATGCTGCATGTGTCATTTATTGTTTTTTTCTGACATTTAACTTGTAAAATACTCAGTATGTATGTACACTGTATCATTCTATATACATGTACACTATCATTTTATATACCTGTACACTGTATAATTCTATATACATGTACACTATAATTTTATATACCTGTACACTGTATAATTCTATATACATGTACACTATAATTTTATATACCTGTACACTGTATCATTCTATATACATGTACACTGTTTCACTTGATATACATGTACACTGTATCATTCTAAATACATGTACACTGTATCATTCTACATACATGTACACTGTATCACTGTATATACCTTTACACTGTTTCACTTTATATCTTACAGCACAGGTTTAACATCTACTATGTACATTCCAGGTTTAATGTCCTATAAGTACCTTTCTGTGAATTAAAATATTTGTGATCGCCAAGAGCCCCCTTCCTCATAACTAGTTATGATGTGATGTTCCAGTGTGTTATTGCCTATAAAAAAACACAGGTTTAATGTGCAATATAGCAATTCTATACAAGTAACTCAGGTGTGATCTCCCCCATAGGGGATGTACAATGTATTTACACCAGGAGTTTAATCCGGATCTCTGGGATACCGGTACTTTGAAAATGCCCCCTTCTAATCCCAAACCAGTGTACTGCCATTAAAATAGACTTTTAACACCTGGCACATGAACTTTACGTCTACATTAATAATTACTTGTTCAGATTAGAACATTCTACAATGAGTTTAGCTATAGTTTCCTAAACACAGGGGGGACGTTCTAAATGTCCTCTCCTTGTCACATACACGCGGAACTTCTACAAACCTATTTGGTCATATGTATTATAAAATGGGACCTTTTTAAAGCTTATACAGAAAGTGACATTACTGGGTTTAAGAAAAATGTAAAATAGTATTAAAACAGTGCTCTGAGGGTTGGAATAAACCCAAACTCCAGAGTGTGTATTGTTTTTTTTTTAAATTAATATATGGAATTTCTCCGTGAAATACATCTAGATGCTGATTTAGGTGGGCACTGAATTGGCATTTTATATTTTCATTTGGGTTATATTTTCTCTGCATTTAAAAAATGCTATGAAACGGTTTCGTTTTTGACTTTTTTTGTTTGTTTGTTTATAATGGATTTTTGTTTACTGTATGAGGATTTATTTATAAACAAGTGTGAAATCGAAATTAAATTGCCCATTCTGAAGGCACTCAATGGAGCACTTTTATCTGATAAGCTGTGAACCTGCACTAGGTTTACCACATTTACAATTTATTATTAACATAAACTGTAAAATAACCTTGTCAAAGCCTGGAATATATTAAGGCACGCAGCTAATTCATATCACACTGCAACAAATGCCTATTTGCAGCAAACTAATTTTGCATGTGACATATTACATAAATAAAGAGGGTGACCTTCCACAATTATTGATATTTAATTATCTACATTCATACTAAAATAACATGCTAGCACAATTCGTGTCTTGCAGATTCATGGAATATTTATTAAGTCTAATACAGTATTTAAGGACTTTTTGTAATATTTATGCTATTTGTATATGTAAATATATAATATATTATAAAAGAATTATATATATATATATATATATATATACACACACACTTTATTATTCATTCATGCTTTTAATATTAGTTTAAATATCACTAATATGTCATGATATAAATATATTAATTATATTTACATATGATAATATGTATTATTTAAATAAAGGCTAACATTTTGTAGACACTGGGGAAAATATACGGATAACAAACACAAATGAATGGAAAAAAAAACAAGTCTATAAAGTTTGCATGCCTTCTGTTAGACACCACCAGCCAGGAGAAGAATGCCATAAGAAATTGGGAGATTTAATGGGAAGCAGCCCTGATCTGCTCACATCCAGGGGCATTAGATAATGCAAGGCAGACAGGGGGCATGTCCTATGGAGGATCAAGATAGTCGGATCTGGACCTGTTTTCTTCCATGTCCTCTGATTTCTGTGCCAGACTCTTTCAGGCTAAGAAGACAACCACAGAGCCAAATAATACATAAGTACCGGCTGCACTTATTGATGTGGAAATGGTTTGGGGACTAAGAGAAATGATACCATTTGCGCTGCATTGTTGGGAACGAATAAACAAATAACAATGATTTAGGATCATATCACAGCTTGGGGAAAAAAACATAGTATCGAAGAAAAAAAAAAAAAAAGAGACACATTGGCAGCTGTTGGATTTGACAGCCTTGGGATCAAATAATGCTCACAGATCGTCCAGATCGAGTTTGCCTGCACTCATTATTTTTGGAAGGAGCAAAGCAATCGGTCAGTTGATTTCATGAGACGTATTGGTGGATGTTGAGTTGTGTTTCCTTTGGATAAAGAGACACAAAGTGTCTGTGATGTTCTGAAAGAGCTGTCACCTTAGTAATTGGAAGTTCTGGGCATCAATCAAGCTCATCGTTAAATATTACAATGTAGGAAGAATAGAGAGTGGAGAATGTTACTTACCCCAAGTATAGACGTAGCCATAGCCCGTCCTGTGGCTTGTAGCAGAGCTCCGGGTGGATGGGGGCAGTTAGAACCTTCCCTTTGATACAAGTTGCACAGAGTAGAATCCTCTTTCAGTCTCAGGCGAACTAGACTCAGGCTAAGCGCTGGAAGCGCCTGCTTTGAAGTACCGCTGGCTCTCCCTTTCAGCCAATCAGAACACGTCGAACGCCAACTGGAGCTGCGCCGTAGCCAATCAGAGCAGAGGAGGTACCAGAACTCTGGGCTCTGCATACTTTGCCATTCAAAGGAGGGGAGGAATTGGACGCTTCATTGCTTTAAGTCTCCAGGAATGGGGCTTTAACCCTTTGGCTCCCGGAGAGGCCAATAATGCATTGCAGGCCCCGTTAACGTGTATAGCGTGTCTGCAATAATATAACTTAAAACATGCTCCATAAAACAACATTCTAAGACATGTACAATGGAATCTAAAAATATATGTTTCCTTATTGGCAGTTTATATTATTGACAGTTTTCTGTAACATTGCCAAGGGATATTCCTATACAACTGTCTAAATAATTACTGGTCATATCATCCTCATCCATTGTGAGATTTCCTAATATTTTTTTTTAATAACCTCTATCAGTCGAACCATTCTATTTCAACGTATTGCTGCTTGTATTAATAAATCATTCTGGATTATTTTATACCTTTAGTCTGTCTTTTTGAAATCAATTAAACTATTTGTTATGAGATCATAAAGTAAATAATTGTAAAACATATATTAAAAAAAAAAAAGAAGAATTCTCCTTTTTTTTTTTTTAAGGGGGAGGACAAGGGGGGGATTACAAGCATCTTCCACTAACCTCCCTGTTAACATCCTGAGTTCCTATGAAACGAAGAGAGAGAAATTGAATAGCCCCTGGTACTTAAATGGTTAAATGAAACAGAAATCATTCACTCGACAGATATTTTTCTCCAAAATAAAGGATGACACTCAAAGCAATCTTACACCTTTCTATATCATATTATTTAAACGATTTGCTCACATTTCGTTTAAAGATATACAAACATTAGAAACGTTAATTATTGTATGCTCTCTCCCCAGACGCCTCTCTGGTTATTAGAATTATTATTATTTATGATTATTATTACAGCTGTTTTTCAGAGGTAGTTCTGTATTCTGTTTCATCAATGTTATATGTAGGTTGGAATGATGTGTCCTCAATGATATCTGCATGAAGACTGGTGTCTGATATTTCTCCATTGGGATCTGCTTAAAAAATGGAGATTATGCAAAATCTGCCACTACATTGTGATGGTGAATAAATGAAGGAAGGAAGGTGTGATTAAAAAAAAAAAAGCCCTAAAAAAGTGATCTCAACGTTAAATGGCTTGCAGACCACAACAGGTGACAGTACTAAATGCAGTCCTCTGCTTGCTGTCTGCACTGATAGAGGTGTCAGTGAGGCGTTACTGATCATCCCTTGGGGAAGGAAATACAGTAAAACTGACTTTCTCCTGCAATCACTATTTGTGTAACATCTTCATCAACAATTCTACAAACATTCTATTTAGAACGTAAACAATGCCAGTCCCCTAGTTCACGTTCGAAATATTAATGCACATTTAGGAATGTTTAATTCATTCATCGCAAAACCTGCTGCACCAGAATTCATTTCAGTTCATGCTTTTAATTCACTACACTGAATGACACTTTAAAACACTAGTGTTCACTGCTGAATAGAGATTACAATTCCTCCTTATGGGGCATTAGTGGTCTAATATATATCTCCCCTTGTCTTAGATTTAGTTTTTAAAACAAAGATCAGAGTGTTATGGTGAAGTGGTGAAATGGCTGTTAAAACATTTGGTGATAATGACAATATAACAAAGGCCTGGTTTGGTTGAGAATCATCGTCCTTTTAAAAGTTAAAAGCAATTTAGTGTAGAATAGCTTTCATCCAGCGTGTTACATTATTCAAAATGGTCAAATAATACTTCCTTTATAGTGGCTGAATGCTACCAGTCAGCCAATTGTAATTTGTGTAGAGTCTGTGTCTTAAAAATCTCCACTTCTTTATAAAGAGGTGAATATTGAACAATTTCTTCTAAACCCAGACAGAAAGCACACAAATTGCTTCCCTTTTTGCAATCAGGGCAATTTAACTGCAATGCAATTAGCTCTATTAATGTCGATTCTCAATAAACAAATTTGACTAAGAATGGAAAGTGGGGTTAGAACCTTAACTGACTGTGTGTGTGTGTGTGTATAATATATATAATATATAAGCAATATATATAATATAGCTTGATACCCAAATTCTAATTATTAATATTATTTTCTTCACAGTAAGTGATCGAGCTGTATTACACAAATGATTTTATTTTTTTGTTATAAAAAATAAATGGAAATAGTTTATTAAAATGGTAAAGATGGATGTTAAAGGAAAGACACTCATTAAAGGTTATATATCTGAAAATTGTATGATTAAATGTGTTTAAGGGTGCAGCAGGCAAAGTTAATGTTGCTTTAAGTAGAAGCTAATAGTAAATATCATGGGGAGCTTTGGCAGTGTCTGGGGGGTTTTTATGGTGGGGGGGAGTTAAGAGAGGGGAGTGGAAGGATCCTAATTCTGCAAAAAATTACAAATCCTCATTGAGATTCTCAGATTTGTTTAATAAATAAACAGGGCCACTTGAGAGACGTGTAAAGATATCTCCAATTATAGAGAACACAGTGGAAACAGACAAATCTCAAAGCACATGCACATCTCTGAAAATTAATACTATGCTGCCATATTACACCAGCAGGGCACCTACCAGGGGTTTACATTATAATTATAATTTCATTTAAATTTTATATAATCGACTTGTTATTATCAAATCAGCCTAACACATTCTACCTGTCATATGTGAGTGTGTATTAGATATGTAATAATATCATGTGATAAAATACACTTTTCATTTTTTTTGTTTATTTCCTTCCCTACAAGGTAATTAATAAACAAACACCTCCTCTGGTATTGCTCAAAATATCTCACACAATCTACAGTTGTGTTTGTTACATTCACTGCTTACACAATACACCACACTATTGATTTGCCTATACATTGGACGATCTTTGAAATGTAAAAAATTTTAATGGGGAAAATGTAATATTATATTTCTAGGTTTAATCTACTTCTGCGATTTAAGTACCAGACAATTCACACACACCCTTATATTGTACAGAAACACATAGATTATATGAATCCATACTGCATTTACAGCAGATACAATTATTCACTTGAAATCCACTTTAGTTCACTTGTACACTGATACACTGTAGGTTTAAAGGGAAGTATATGTGATGTGATGTCTCCACTGGGTCTGATGAGTTTAATGACTGCAATTATTGGTGGATTTTCCCAGAAGCTTCTCACATTTACTTTGCAGCATAATTAAAAAAGAAAAGAAAAAAAAAAGAAAAAAAAAGTTTATCTTAAATGTTTCCATAAAACATCAATTTTGCCTTAAAGACATAAGCATACGTTTTGTACATATTTGCTTAGCACAGACACACAGAACCAGTTATTTACACTGTATAGAGCCAGGGAACCTTTGGCACTCCAGATGTTGTGGACTTCAACTCTCCTGATGCTTTGCCAGCATCATGGCTTTAAGAGGATTATGGGACATGTATTCCAAAACATCTGGAGTGCCGAAGGTTGCCTATCCCTGGATAGAACGTTGGTTTCCAGATAGATACAATGTATTCAGGATTTCAAAGACTGCATCCAATTAATCTGCTCACAATTCAATCAGATGTCGCTGCTATCTGACTGACACTAATATTTCAGGGATGTGCTAAATTCTATGGCATTTCCCCCTTTCCCCCCAATACTGCCTGATCCCTTAATATGTTAATTCAAGTTTACAATTTGGATGGGTGCATTGCTTACAGGTGTAAATCCGATTAACCCTTGAGGCTCCGAAATATGAATATCTGAAAAATCGATGCTCGACAACACGATCTAAATGATGGATTTACAAACGTGATTTAAATTCTAGAAAATATAGCTTTAATCTGGGATCTGGAAATGTGGACGATGTCTCGGTTTTAGTGGCTGCCTGTTACATCTCCTAATAAGAAGTGATGCTAATTAGTGCATTGAATGTTTTTAATTCCAGATCCATAAATACATTAATGTTGGTCGAAGTGCAGAATGTAACAAATTAATCTGAAATCTACATTCACCTTTCGGGTAGCTGAGGATGATAGGCATTGTAGTACCCAGGGGTTCTGGAGATTGACTATCCCACTGCACATCTTCACCTGTCAGATGATCTTGAATCTTAAGATTAAGGTGAAACTCAACTCAGATCATCAACCGTTTCAGGTTCAATTGCAAGCCTGCAGTACATTGCTAGTTGTAATTAGAAGCCTATTACAAGTCATTAGATTGATCAATGTACCTTAAACAATGTGGATGATTTATATGGCACTGGGCAAGGAAAAAAAAACTGTAACATCCATTGTAATGTCCCAGAGGCCAAGTTGAACCCATGCTTCCATCCATCACTAAATGAAACAATAGGAGACCCAGACTAATGGGAGCATACCTATTTAGAAAACTAACATGCAGATGGAGAGGCAGGGCAGCCTGTCCTGTGAGCCAAAAGGTCTCCTTCTCTCCTCCATGTGTTCTTTTGTTGTTGACATTTGTTGCCACATGTAGACAGCATGGCAAACACATTGCCCAGCTCCTATAGACCACAATGGAAAGCAGGTTTTGTGATCTATTTAGATTTTATTAGCCAATCAATCTGACTCCCTTTTGTATCTTCAAGAGATTTACTAGATCAACTCTTCTAAAGGCAGTAATGAATTAATAACAACTTTTTTTTTAATCTGGAAGTATTTTGGCATTAGATTGCAAGCTCTTAAGTCGAGGGTTCTCGTTATCTTGCAGTCTCTCTGTGTTGCTTTTATTGCTCTGTTAAGTTATTCATAATTTCTCTCCCGGCCTATAGAGATTCTACAAAGCTCAGTTTAAACTGTATGTTATGTGTGTGATGCCATTTCCCTTTCCCCAACATTTATTGCAAACGTATCTTCCTGAGCTCTGAGGCTTTTCTAGATCACAAGAATTTCATTTCATCCAATTTCCCACATATGTTGTCCTATATTTTATTATTATTGGTATTTATATAGCGCCAGCTTATTCCGTAGAGTGTTACAATATTATGGAAGGGGGGAATTGAACAATTAATGGGACAAATACAAAATCATACAGGAAAATATATTATCAAAATCTCATATGTCATTTAATTCCAGATTTAGTCCCATGATCCTATATGCATTATTTAATTTCACATACTCGACATTTAATTTGATATACACCATGTCTGACTCCATCATATATTTTTCATATTTTATCCCACAGTTCACTACTCAAACCGATCACCCATAGCTATCCATCTCAATACTCCTCCCAAACTCATGTTAGACATCCATTCCATTCCCTTCATACAACCCTCCTATCTTCCATCGGTGATTGGGTGGAACATGTGTTATTGCCAACATGGAGGGCCAGTTGAGGTGGAAGTGGTCTTGTACCATTTTCGTGGTGATGTTTATGTCAAACTTTGTTCCAGAATAGCACCTATTTTTGCCTTGATAAAATGATAATGTCTTAAATTCGCACTTTAATATTCAGGTGGAACCGAAATGAAGGAAACAGAGTAAGGAAACATCCTGTTTCAACCACTGAACCAATAGTTACTGTTGAATCGAGGGTCAATGTGAAAATTACAGTGGGGAGGATGGTCAAAGTATTTACGGCATTGAATTAAACAATGTAAAAGGGTGCTGTTAATACAAGGGGATGTCAGGATAGGGAGGTAAGAATGTTGGAGGAATTCTTCTGGATGTCGATAGCAAGGAATGCCAACAGATGGGTTTCTGTATAGACTGGGCAAGCATTATTGAGGCATGGTGATAGGCTGATTTGGGAAATTGGGTGTCAATCTGCAGAGCCATTAGTGAGATCAGCAGATTGAGAAAGAATAGTGAGGTTAGATGGCAGGGTGAGGAAGAATTAGTTAAATTAGATTGAAGGCCAAGGACGAATAACTAGGCAGGGTGAATAGATTAGGGAGCTTAAGGAAGTTAGGTGAAAGGGTGGTGATGGGTCAGGTATTTGGTGCCTGGTGACGGATTAGGTGCTTGGTAGCTGGTGATGGATTAGGCTTTGGTGATGGTGATGGATTAGGCATTTGGTAACTGGTGATGGATAAGGTTTTTGGTGACTGGTGATGGATTAGGCTTTTGGTGACTGGTGATGGATTAGAGATTTAGTGACATGTAAAATGGCATGCTAGTTATTAGATAATTAGATATTATGTTAAGGTGGGTTTATGTGAAATTCCAGTGCAATTAAAATATATCATAAGACAAAGTAAGGACTACTTTGTGTTATGTACATACCAAATTTTGCTACCACCAGATCTTGTAATGCCATATTTTACCATTTACCATCGGCTTCCCCTAACAACACTCATTGGGTACAAACATCTTGTATGGCACCTTACTGTGCAAGTTCAGGATCCTGTGGTCTTGCTTGATCTTCCATAAACATTTATTATATTCTCTTCCTGTGAGTCCAACTTGTCTGGTTACAATGACATGTTTGTTCGTCCACTCGTTGTACAGTGCTGCAGAATTTGTTGGCGCTTTATAAATAATAATAATTTTGGAGTGCAGGCCATAAGCAGAGGTTTACCCTAGGTCTTAATATTATGAAGGACAGTCTTGGATGAGATGCAGGTGAGAAAAACGTTAAAAAGTAATGTTTAAGGGTTCTCTGTATCAGAAGTAAATGGGAAAGTGACTTCCCATTTAAAAACAAGTAGCCAGTGATCACTAAAACATAGAAACTCATAAAAGTCAGACTATCTCGTGCAACATGATTGGCTGAATATAGTACCAAAGAATTACAATGCAGCTCTTGACACATTTTATAGAGCTTTCTGGAATCTTCACAGAAAGAGTTCCAACTACAGAATCTTCTAGTCCATTCATATTCCATAGCAATCTACAGTTGGAATGTATTGCAATGTGATTTGCTGAGATAAATAATCATTACAATAAAGGGGAGGGAGTGTGTAGATGCTGATATTGAAATCCATGTGGTCCTCTTCACTACTTGGAAACTTCCTGCCCTGCTTCCATTCACCAAAATGGAATCATAAATTAATTCTATACATTTTTGTTTGTTTGTTACCCTGTTTGTTTACACTCTTTTGTTGAGACTGCTATGATTTTTTTGTGACTGCTTCAGTATATTCCTTGTCAGTTCAATTGGGCAGAGTAGAAGGATTCTAGAGATGCCAATCACTGGATATTGTAAGTATGAATGTATTTGATCTAACAACGTTCATTCCTAAAGGTTATTGAAGACAATTCTGAATATTTATTAGAAGGAGGTGAGGACATGGTTTTCTGGTTTAAGCTGTGTCTGATGTTGACATATGGGGAGCTATGAGATATTATTAATACTCTATGTTGAGGGGTTTGTGGACCCCTGACCACACTAATATGGGACAGTAATCCTGGTGACTAGGCATAACCTTGTCATTGTTCCATTAAGAGCCAACACAAAAGTCAAGTTTTCGCTGTTCTAGCTCTTTTGCTCCGACAGATGAGAGTGGTAAGTCGCTCTGCTGTCCACCATGACACTGAAAATGTCACCCTAATTGTTTAGCTCATATCTAGATACTCTGTATGCAGATCAAGTGTTAGTCTATAGGTTATCGGTGATCTGTCGCGTTCCTGAACTCTGAGCAAAAATGTACTCGAATCACAAACCTACCCAAACGTGCAATAGCCAAGAAATAGAATTTATTTTACTGCACCTCCTTTTTTCCCCTTCTATTAGTTACTCTCTCACTTGATCTGTAAAGCAAGTGGCAGTTAAATACTCTTATCAGTGTACTACAAAAATATATACGTAATATTATATTATGTATATATTTTGCTTACAGTACACTGACTGGCCCATTTTGGATCCCTTTTGATACAGCACCGAAATATATGATCGAAGCTCTGATGTCCTGCAAATTTTTCTATTTTCAGGAAAATTGGTTCGTCTGAGCTGAATTTATTCAACGTGCACAAGTCTACTACATACCTGGGATTGACAGCATGGGTCATTGGGGACTCAGAACTGCTTTCTGTCTAAAGAAGATTTCGAGTAAATGTTCACCTAGTGCTGGTACCTAAATAGTGAATACCAGTTGATGTTTTGATTGTTTTCAATTAGAGTAACAACATTCTATCAAAGTGTAAGTGATGCCAGGTATCACATGGAATTTGCCTACAATAAGGCAGTGCAACAACCCTTTTCTAAATTCATTAAATCAAGTATAGCTTGCAATCATCATTATTATTATGTTTCTGAAGCAATGTTTTATTTTTTGACTCACATTATTATATTGCCTTTAGGGCTATGAAGAAAGTGTGGAAAATATCATTTTTCATCTCGATGAATTCTGATGAAAAATGAACAGTTTTTGACCATGTCTTATCATTCATCATTACTATCCAATCCATTGCTACAGTTAGTTTATCGTGATTAGTCACGCCCTGGGTATGTTGGCTACCCTTGGTTTCTGACTGTGTGCTTGGTTCATTCGGAAGGCATTGGGAAGTACACGTGTTAGAGCTCGTTAGTCATTTTATCGTGGGTGGGTCATGGATTGACTGTTTTTATCCTTATCATCGACTTCAGAATATAAAACTTTACTTAATCAATACCACCACTGCAATAAATTTAACAATTCAATACTGATCACTGCCTTGTAATAGTCTAAAACATTCATGTTAAATTTAAAACTTTTACCTTTTTGTGTCTTGCAAAGCTATACTAATTAACTCACTGTCTTCCATTCAAAGTCTTACAATTTTACAGAGAATTATCAATGTAATATTTTGTTGAAACAAGCAGATAAACAGTTGTTGACCCAGTTTTGTCTGTTTGAAAGAGGTGGATGGATTTATGTAAAGGGATTGCTAAAATGAAACACTTGATAAAACCAGTACGTAATATGAAAATAATGCAATAAAACGATAATATTAATTTCACCTACTCATATAACCACATAACTCTGACATCTAATAAAGAAAAAAGTTTGCTGGTGTGAGATAACAAGAGAATTGCTAAATTCTAGCCAAAAAATATGAGAGGGGAATATGTTAAGTCCAAACATATGAGCACATGGTTCGTTATTGTGTGGTACTGAATCTATTATTAACAAGTCTGCTCCAAATGTGGATTTGATCTCATGTCAGCTTACCTGATAGAGCATATTATTGGAAAATATATTTCTGAATTTTTGGAAAAATATGGAAAGGATAAAAAAAAAATGGTATCACAATAGTATCACAAGTAACTATTTCCTTGGCCTCTACAATGATTATATTCTAAAACAGAGCACTGTAGAGTACAAATTATTCTTAATCAAGGTGATAAAACACCAAGGGAGCCAACCGCTAAACTCTACTTAAGTCAAATGTTAATGGAAAGCTGGTTCAAATAGTTTCAGGTCAATTCTAGCTCGCCCTCCTTAAAGGACCACTCTAGGCACCCAGACCACTTCAGCTTAATGAAGTGGTCTGGTTGCCAGGTCCAGCTAGGGTTAACCCATTTTTTTTATAAACATAGCAGTTTCAGAGAAACTTCTATGTTTATAAATGGGTTAATCCAGCCCTCAATTCCTCTATTGGCTGTCTCATTGACAGCCGCTAGAGGCGCTTGCGTGATTCTCACTGTGAAAATCACAGCGAGAAGACGCCAGCGTCCATAGGAAAGCATTATGAATGCTTTCCTATGAGACTGGCTGAATGCGCGCGCAGCTCCTGCTGCGCATGCGCATTCAGCTGAAGAGGAGGAGAGGAGGCAGAGAGGAGGAGGAGAGCTCTCCGCCCGGCGCTGGAAAAAAGGTAAGTTTAACCCCTTTCCTTGCCATCCAGCCCGGCGGGAGTGGGACCCTGAGGGTGGGGGCACTCTCAGGGCACTATAATGCCAGGAAAACGAGTATGTGAGCGCAGTGTGTGAGGCTTGCATCTGTTGCATATTGTCCCTCAGGTCGGTCAGACCTCTTTGTAGGGTGTGTACTTCTTCTTCTGTGGCCTGGGTGTGGGCTTTGACAGTTTGTACTTCAGCTGCTAGGCCTTTAAGATCAGCTTGCCACATTTTGTGAAGGTTTTGTTGTAGCCCAGTCAGCATTTCTTGGAATTCTCGTTTGGATGCTGGTGCCTCTGTCCCATTTTCCACCGGGGGTGGAAAAACGGCATCTGCCGGTTCCGTGTCTAGTTCGGAGGTGAGTCCCGTTCTTTCTTTCGTCCGGTGTGGTGTGGGTCGACTGTTATTGCCCGTTTTTGGCCTAAATCTGTCGGAGCTGTTGGCGATGGTGACCGCTCCGGTCTGCTGCTAGGCTCTGCCCCCCCGTGATCACATCTTTAATAGTGTGAATGTCAGTGTTTGTGTGTTATACTGTGAGCATTAGTGAAAGTGTTTGTTAGTATGAGACTGTGGATGTGAATTTGTATATGTGTCAGTGTGTGTCCGAGTGTTAGTGAGAGTTTGTGCACAAGTGTCAATGTGAGTCTGTGTTTGACAGACTTATTCAGCAAAGCAAATTTCGATTTTAAGGTAAAAATAGCTACCATGAAACATTATCTAAGTCAGCCATGCTTCCATTTCAGGCTACTCTGGCATTAAATTTGAAATTCACTTTCAATACTTACTTTAGTGGATAATCCTGTAATTGTCACTGTGTGTCTGTGTCTAAGTGTCAATGTGTGTGAGTATCGGTATGTTTCCTTGTATGCACATTAAAGTTTCTATGATTGTGTGTTGATAATGCGTTACTATTTTTACCTGCTAATGTGCGTCTTTGTATCCATACTTGTGTATGCTATGAATTAGATTGTGATATGTGCAAGTGATGTATGTGTGAGAGTGGCTAGTTATGTATATTTATATGGTCGTGAATAATTACAGATATGTGTTTGCCTAACTGATGGTGGGGGTGAGTGCAAGTCCTGCAAGATTTTTGTTAAGAGTGATTCAGACTTACAATCCCTGTATGCCAGTGCCCGGGGGATATTTGTCCTCTTTGTCACTTGCTAGCTCTCCCATGAGGGCAGGGGATAAACACATAACATATTTCAGGTGAGAGACCCATTATGGTAAGCCCTATGTGCACCAGTTATAATCATATTCCGATAAAACAGGAAAACAAAGTTATACTATAAATTATTGCAAATGTCTTAATCCCCTCTTCAAATAACTTAGTTTTCCCTTAGTTTTCATGGACTATATAAGCACTGGGTCCTAATATGATTTAATTGCTTAATTGTAAACAACAATCTGT